CTGCACTGTGCAGAGCCCAGAATCCCGGGTTGGTCTGCACCCTGCTCCATCATTCACTCCTTTGGCACTCGGTTTCTCCAATGAGATGGTAAACTCCCTTGGGGGCAGGGAATGATCTTTTGTCTCCCCTCCTCCTGTGCCTAGCATGGTGCTCTTGAACATTGGTGTTGAGTAAACATTTAAGCAAAAATAAATGTATTATTCTGGAGCACAGTGTTTTACTCATTAAGTGATGGCACTGACCCCAAAGTTCTTTCCAAGGCACGTGTGGACTTGGGAGGACGAGAGTGCTGGGTGTGAGAGGCCCGTCCTATAGGGCTGCTCCTTCCTGCCACAAAATAATTGTGCTAAAAAAATGTAAAATTATTAGAAGTAGAGCAACGTGGTTATTACTATTTCACAGTTGAAGAAAGTGAGGTTCAATGAGGTCACACAGTTTATATATGAATTCCTGGTCCGGTGCTCTTTCCATTTCCCTGACCCGGAGATCTGCCTCCTGCCCAAGTGCTAGGCCAGGCTCCCCCCAGTACAGCGTCCATTCTTGGGGTGGGGGGTGCTCACTATCTCACCATCCATCACTCTGCATTGCCAGCCCGAGCACCTGCTGTGGTTTCTACACCACCTGGGGAATGCTGGCGGTGAGAGGGCAGAGAGCAGGGTGAACACGGTCACACCCCCTCAGAGGGAGGGCCCGGCAGGCATTTTACGGCTCGCCTAGTGCCTGGCACTTTGCTGGGCACTGTAGCGCCAGTCTCCTCCCCCGCCCCGACACTTTTACCCTTGTAAAGAGAGGTTCCGAGGCGAAGTAACCCCTCGTGGGCCTAAAGCCAGTGGGAGCGGCTAGGCGGCCGCCAGGGGAACGGGCTTTGCCCCGGGTCAGGGTCCTCCGCTGGACGGTGGTGCACATGGACGCCAACGCCCTGCGGAGGCGATGCCCACGCGGGCGCAGAAGCTTAAGCGCTCAGCGCCCGGGGTCCTGCGGGGCGGGGCGTTCTGCGAGGGCGGGGCCGGGGCGGCTGCGAGCGCACCGGGGGGCGGGCTTCTCGGGGCAGGCTCCGCCCCCCAGGGGCGAGGATTTAAAAGGAGGGAAGGAGGCGGCCTCGACTCCAGCGGCTGCGAAGCGCGCCAGGGGTGGAGGAGCGGCGAGGGTACAGCCATGACCCTGCGGGCGGGGGGCGCTCGGCTGCTCGGCGGACTCCTGCTCTTCGCTCTGCTCGCTGCCGGCGCCGCGCCACTCAGCTGGGATCCCCCAGAGCCCCGCAGCCGGACCAGCAAGATCGGAGTGCACCCGCGGGGCAACCTCTGGGCCACCGGTAAGTCTTCGGGACCCGGGCAAGCGCCCCTCACCCTGCTCTGATCCCATTTTCCTTCTCAGGCCGTTCCTCAGCCACGGACACTCGTGTTCGCGTTGCTGAGGACCCTGGAACTCGTCTAATTTAATAGATGGGAAACTTGAGACCCAGACAGTCCGGTGACTTGGCTACGATCACTCAGCCAGTTAAAGCAGAGCTGGGGTCGGATCCTTCATCTGCCTGCCAGCCGGTGCCCCTTACCTTAGGCAAGAGTCTTCTGAATCTTCTTCTAACCTCTGGTGTGTCTTCTCTTTGCACCTCCACCTTCCAGACACCTCTTCATTCTCCACTTTCCTCCTTGCCCTCTCCTGTCCCTCCTGTAAGCACGCAGCACTACTGGCAGGCTTTCTCCCTGGCCGTGTGCCATCTACCCTCCTCCCAGCTGTGCCACCCTCTCCACCATCTCTACCTGCTCAGGAAAAGCCCAGGTACAGGCTTTGCCGCCACCCAGGGGTATTTGTGTCTCCTTGGAGAAGAGGTGGAGGGAGACTGACCTCAGATCTTCCTGTCATGAGAACTGAAAGTTGGGAGAGATGGGGAACTTTCCCACTGGGATAGGATCCTCGCTCCCCAACTTCCTTGTGTCTTGGCACCTCCTTTCTAGGTCACTTCATGGGTAAGAAGAGTCTGGAAACCCCCAGCCCATTCCTCTTGGGGACAGCTCCCCACATCTCTCTGAGGGACCAGAGACTGCAGCTGAGTCATGATCTGCCCAGGATCCTCCTGCTCAAGAAAGTTCTGGGCATGAGCCTTAGCGGCCCAGCACCTCACCCCCAGGTGAGCCAAGCTCCTACCTCAGGCCAAGGAGAGGCCCAGCCAGGGCTGCTGCTGGTTCCAGCATTGGGCATCGGGTGTGACAGCCCCTTGCCCGCGAGGTGTGATGGGCCCCAGAAAGCCAGGGATTCCAGGCTCTCCTTGTGATCCAGAGTCAAAGGGAGAAGACTTCAAAGAAAGGTAACTGACCTTCCCAGCAAACCTCACAGAGCAAGAAGTAGGAAAAAAGTTTCCCCTCACCTAGTTCCCAGTCTGAAGTCACAGCCCAGGATTAATTAGCCAGCCCCTTGCAGCAGGACCTCCCCGCCACACACAGACTTGCCCCACCCCAGCGGTCCACCTTTGCTGCGCCTCATTTGTACTTGTGGTTACAGTTGGGACCCTGAGGCCCAGAAAGGAGAAGAGTCAGCATCCAAGACAGAGTCCAGACCTTGGTCAGCCCGACCAGTGCTCTTCCCCGTCGCTCATCTGCCTCCGTGACCCTCAGTGCAGGGTTTCTCAACCTCAGTACTCCTGACATTCTGGGCTGGATAATTCTTTGTTGTGCGGGCTTCCCTGTGCATTGGAGGAAATTTAGTAGTATCCCTTGTCTCTACTCACTGGAGCATCCTCCTCCCCCCACCCCATTTGTGACAACCACAAAAAAATGCCTCCAGACATTGCCAGAGCTCTTGTGAGGGGAAAGGGGCAGGAGCCTAAATTACCCCTGGTTGTAAACCACTGACCCCAAAGCTAGAGCCAAGCCAGCTTTAGTCTCTACCCTGGCAGGAGGGCAGCTCCTCCATTCCCTGCTCCTGGTGCTGTCCCCGGCCCACACCACCTTCCCTTGTACTTTGTTACGATGCCCAGAAGGCAGCGTAGTGTGGTAGAATGTGGGTTCCCGTGACAGCGAGCTAGGCTCATAACCCAGCTATTTTGTAGCCGTGTGACCTTAAAGGCCTCATCTTCCTCATTTATAAAATGAGGATGATAGCGGATAGCACCCATCTTGTATTAAATGGGACCATTTGTGTCATGAGCTCAGCGTGATGCCTGGCACATAGAAAGCACTTAGTAAACAGGAGCTCTTACCAGTCTGTAAGCTCCCTGGGAGCACCTGTCACAGACTCACCATATCCTCCACTGTGCCTAGCATATAATGCTACATTTTGAAAGAAGGGAGGGGCATTTCCTAGAGAAGGTCCAACTCCATCCCCAGTCAACCTCCCTGGCACTCCTCATGCACAGAACCCCCAGCCCCTGGGGACCTCAGATATAAGGGCCAGCAGCTTGGGCTGGCTGACTCTGAAGGGAGATGATGTCACCTCTGGGGCTGTCAGTCTCGAAGGCCTCAAGCATGCAGACCAACTAGCAAACCTCCCAGGAAGCACTACCTAGCACTGGGGGATGGGGCTTCAGAGGTGAGGTCTGGGGCAGAGCTGGGGGCGGGGAGTGAAAACACTGACACTGGCCCAGGGCCAGGCACATAACGTGGACTTTACTTCCATGATCTCCTTGACTGTCACAAGCACTCTGAGAAAACCACTGCCCCGACCCCTTCCAGGCCTCCTTCAGGGGGAAAGGTGCCAGGGGGGCCTGCCTGAGCGGAGAGCCTGCCCCTGCCTACCTCTGTGGATGCCTCACACATAGGAATGGCAGGACACCCCTGTCATGTGCCCCCTCTGCCCAGGTCAATTCTGTGTGTTCCCGTTCAGTACAGGAGGCCGCTGGTGCAGATGCTGCAGAAGGGATGCCCCTAATGAGGAAGAGACGCCGCCGTGACTTAGACTGTGCCCACCCAGGGAAGGTGCTGAGCAGGACCCTGGCGGTGGCCCCATCTGGATGTAAATAAACCCTGGGCTCAAATATCTGTTACTCCATTACTGTGATTTCTGGTTGTGTCGCCAGGAATATTGCCCATGCAGACACAAATTATGTCCCTGCTGTATTTCTTGCTTCCGTGTTGAAGTTGTGAATAAAACCCTGCTCTTTATGTAGAATGTCTGGGCCTCTCCTTCCAGCCACATTTGAGGGCATGGGAGGGAAAGGGGGCTGGAGGACGGCATGTTCAGTGAGACAGTGCTGGCTCGAAAGAGCCAAGAAAACTTCATGACACCAGCCTACTCGGAACTCCTATTCAGTCGCTCACTCAGCAAGCAGGTACTCAGTGCCTGTTGTATCCACCAGGTCTTGGGCCAGGTGCTGGGCTCTTACTCTTCACCTCTGCTACCTTCTGGCACGGGCAAGTCTCTCATGTTTCCTCGCCTGGACGAGGGAGCTGCCTCCACTACAAGATGGGGTTTTGCTGACCCCATTCCATTTCATCCCCATGCCAGGCTTTAAGGGGAGTGCCCAGGGCATACAAGGGAGTGAGCCGAGCTAGGGTCCAGACCTCGCTGTCTGCTTACTCTCTTCTCTGGCCATGAGTAGGGTTGCCAGATTTAGCAAATAAAAATACAGGACACTCAGTTAAATTCTCATTTCATATAAACAATGAATAATTTTTTCGTATGAGATGTCCTAAGCATTGCATGGACATACTTACACGAAAAAATTATTCATTAGTTTATCTAAAATTCGAATTTAACCGAGCATCCTGTATTTTATCTGGGCTTGACCCTCTGATCTGCAAATATTCGGTCGTGAAACGGGCGGGTATTTGGTTCCCGAGGCCCCGCTCGAAACTGACATCCTGGGAACCCCTGATCTTACGTCATTTCCCCCCCTCGAGCTTTTGCCAGAAGGATCCCGGACCCAGCCCGGTGACGGCACTGCGTGCTGGTGGAGGCGCTCAGGCTCCTCTCTGCCCCGCCCCCTGGAGTGGGACCACGCCTCCCAGCCGGAGCCGGCCGCGCCCACTCCTCGCGAGAGGGCCGCGCCTGCCGAGGAAGGTCCTCAGAGGCGGAAGTGGGGCGGCGGAAGTGGGGTACCGGAAGCGGCGTTGCCATGGACCCCGCGGAGGACTGGCTGGTGGAATCCTTGCGCTTGTAAATCCTGTGGGCCTGGGCCCTGGGCCCTGAGCCTGGAGCTGGCGGGGTGGGCGGACTGGTGCGGGGTGGGGCGCCCAGGGAGCCCCGGTGTGGGCTGGGCCGGCCTGGCCGTGGGGCGGGGCCGACACCGAGCACTCCGCCTGGAAGTGGGCTCCGGCGTCTGGGAAGCGGCACCTCCCCGTGGGCGCAGCGTGTGCGGTGCCAGTTAAGAGCCGTGGTCGTGGAGGATAATAATCACCCAAGTGACCCGTTATTTTGCGCCAGCCTGAGTGAGACCTTGAGCACATTATCTCAGTGATTCCTCACATCAGCCTTGGGAAGCCCAGGTGCTCTGGGAGTTCCGTTTTACAGATGGGGACCGAGGCTCAGGGATAACTGTGACCGGCCTGGTCCCAGTCACACGGGGGCTGAAATGTGCAACAAGACCTGCTCCCAGGTCTGCTTTGCTCCAGAGCCTGGGCCCCCACCCACCGAACCGTGCTGCCGTCTCAGAGTTTTAACAGATGTAGAGTGCTGTGCACCGTGTGACATTGTGTCTTTATCATGCAGGTACCAAGATTTCCATGCATTCGATCTTTCGGGAGCCACTCGAGTCCTTGAATGGATTGGTGACAAAGGTGATCTTGCCCTGCCTGGCCCTGAAGGAGATGGACTCTTACTCCTCAGGCTGGACCTCTTATTGCTAGCGCAGCCGGGAGGGACCCAACCCACACTTCTGGGAGTCTGAGGCCTCCTCTTGGTCTTGTAGCAATTTCAGCCCCGTCAGCACTTAACATTCCTCTTAGTAAGATCTAGATCCCTTCCATTCCCCAATACAAGGCTGCATACCAATGGTGGAGGAATTTATCTGCTTTGGAGGTTTTGGTGAAATTTCTAGACCCAGCCATGGTCCAGGATCTTTCTAGCAGTTTGTCACAGCTACTTCTGCTTCTTTTTCCAGGAGTCTTTGTTGCTGGCTATGAAAGCCTGAAAAAAAATGAGATTCTTCATCTGATACTACCTCTCAGACTTTCTGTAAAAGAAAACCAGGTAACGTGAAATACAAATGCTGAGTATACATGTCTACTTTTTATTCATATATTAAACCTTTAGAGAGTTCCTCTGTCTACTAGGTATTGTCCTGGATACTAGTCAGAGAGAGGGACAAGCACTGGTCCCGCCCTGCTTGTCTCACGGGGAGGCAGGGATGCACAGAGGTAAGTGTTGCAGGATGTCTGAGGTTTACAGAGGGTTCCTAGAGGAAGAGGTCAATTTTACTTTATCAAAAATAGATTTAGGGAGCCATTAGAGTGTAGAGGGTGGTTGAAGCCCTTAGAATGATTAAGATCACCTAGGATGACAGTGTCGTGTATAAGGAATAAAAGCAGACAATGTCTAAAGACCAAACCTTAGGGAATACATTTCAGAAATAGTTAAAGGAAGATGAACCCACAACAGATACTAAGAAGGAATAGTCTTTGAAGTAGGAGTCTCAGAAGAGGGCAGTGTTGGGGCGCCTGGGTGGCTCAGTCGTTAAGCGTCTGCCTTCGGCTCAGGTCATGATCCCAGGGTCCTGGGATGGAGCCCCACATCGGGCTCCCTGCTCAGCAGGGAGCCTGCTTCTCCCTCCCCCACTCCCCCTGCTTGTGTTCCCTCTCTCGCTGTGTCTCTCTCTGTCAAATGAATAAATAAAATCATTAAAAAAAAAAGAAAGAAAGAAAAGGGCAGTGTTTCAGAAGCCAAGAGAAGAGAATGTGTGAAGAAGAAAAGAGTGGGTAGCTGTGTGATGTTGCTATAAAATCACTCAATCTCATCTGAGGACAGCCTGGCCTTTGTTGCCCTGGGGGGGATTTCCTGCCTAGTGCTCTTGATCTCCCCGATCCCCGCCACTCAGGCTTAAGCCAGGAGCTCACTCACCCAGACTGAGCCTTGAGGAGACACCTTATTTACCTCTTACCTCATGCCTGGCTTTTCCTCTTTTTTCTTATGGCTACCTTCTTTCCCTCTGCTTCCAGTCCCTCATATGGAGAGAGTAGAGTCTAGTGGCTGAGAGCATGAACTTTGGTTAGACAGACTTGGGTTCAGATCCACAACATAATCCCTGTGTGACCTTAGAAAAGTTGCTTAAGTTCTCTGTGCCTTTGTTTTGTCATTTTAGAATAGGGGTCATTACAGTACCTACATGACAGGGTAGTTGTAAGAATTCAATGTGATAAAGTAGATAAAGCACTGAACACAGTGCCTGACACAGTGAACACTGGATAATTGGTGGTGGTTACATTTTTATTGCTAGAAGGACCCACCTGACTTCCAGTGGGAGGTGCGGGAGGAATGGGGACAGGGTAGTTGACTGATACGTTCCAGCTGTCTTGGATGAAGCTATGAAGCTTCGGTGACTCCTCTAAGAAGGCCTGGAGTATAACACTTGTGCTCTCATGAAAGGGCCCGGGGAAAGGTTGGGAGAAGGGTTTTGGATGTGCAGGAAGGAAGGGAAGCTGTGTAGGCAGCTGAGACCAACATTTACAGGTGGCAGCACACTGAGGCCCGGCAGGGGGAAGCATCTTTCGTCAGCAAGGGGCTTCATGCCGGCGTCTGACCTAGAGCTCATCGAAGTGTTCCTTTGGAAAGCAGACTCTCTGATGGGCCACCCCTTTGTATTTTAGGGCTTATGCCCAGAAAGAGATTTCAAGGTGTGCCACGGAGGATTTTCAGACATGCCTGTCTTTGATCTGAAGCACGTGCCAGACACCAGGTATGGTCAGCTCTGTGACCCAGACCTTCCATTCAGGATGGAGTGGCTGGAGCTGTCAGGGGTATCCTCCCTCTTTAGCACCACCTCTACCCCTACCCCCTCAGCACACAAGCACACACACACCCAGATTTGGAGTATAAAAAAAAACCCTCATTGTTTGGTAACTTGATGGTCCCACACAGGCCACAGACCTTTGAACTAATGTAATCCCCAGATCGCTGGAGTTGTTCCAGGGAATAGAGAGTAGAAGGACGCCCTTAGTTTCTCAAAGCACTGTTGGTGGGTCGTTGGGACTAATAGCCCTGTTGGCAGAGGCTGAGAGTCTCCGGGTTAGGGTTGTGTGTTCAGGCTCCATGCTGGTGTCCCCTCTCGGATACATCATGCCCTGTGGAAGCCTGGGCTCAGTCCCGTGACCCTCCATGAGCTCTGGGTCTGTCCCTCAAGTGGAGTGAGCCTGCTCCTCATCTGTGAAATGAGGATGGCTGGTCTTGATGATCTCTTCCTGCAGCAAGCTTTCCTGGTATGGGGAGTGTAGGGGTCCCAAGCTGAGTGGGCTGGGAAGGGAAAAGGCTGGGGGGTATGTGGGTGAGCTCCCCACTCGCTGGACTGATCCTTCTGTCTGTTATGAATAGGTTGCTGGTAACCACTGGTCTTCCGGGTTCTTACCTGCATGTGTGGCAGGTCACAGAGGACAGTGGTGAGTGAATTTGACTTGGTGGGGCTGGGTTGTGGGAAAGCCTGATACCCATACACCCCTACCCCTAATCTAAGCCAGGTAAGAAATAGTCACAGAGCCAGGTGGGAATTAAAATGTAGTGTCTACTTTAACATGGGCAAAAATGAGTTAGCGACCACAGCGTGGCGTACATCTCCCAAATGGAACTTCCTGCAACTTGCTTCCGGAATTCAGTTCACCTACCCAGTCATGGGCAGAGCACCTGGCGTACCCCGTGCCTCTCCCCCAGGCGGGGGCAGAGGCAAGGAGGTCACCTCGCCTTGTAGGCATGCTCGTCTCGGGGATGGAAAATAATGAGGGAGCAAGAGGCTCAGCCTACCAGTCGCCCTCTTCGTGAAGTCAGTCTACCCTGTAACAGGGGAACGGGAAAAGGAGCCGCAAGTGTTATCCTGTTCCCTTCGGGAGGGAAGGGGAGTTCGTTCATGTGGAATAGCCTTCCTTCCAGCAGTAGGTTTGCGGGTTTCCCTGCCAGGCAGGCACCAAGAGCGGCGGCCCTGATTCAGCCCCTTCCATCCCTGCTTCTGTTAGAGCACTGTTGGCCAGAATGGAAGTGTGCCTCAGAGGCACAGGCCGCCGCTTTTGGAACTGCCCCTTGGCTTTATTGAAAGATGATTGCTTAACCATAAATACAAGGATTTCTTTCTGGACTCTGAGTTCTGGTCCATTGGTCTTCGTGTCTGTCCTTATGCCAGTAACTTGTAGTTTTTTATCTTTGCTTAAAGATAGGCCATATGGGACAGCAGTTGCTTAAAGTTGAGAGGGAGGAGAGTGTCACTAACCATGTGGAGGCGCCCGGAGCTGCCTTTTATCCATACTATAGCCCCAGGCCCAGGGGAGCTAATGGCCCAAGGGGGCTTGCTCTGACGCTCCTATGAGACTAGCAAATCAGATAAAGAGTTCTCTTTCCCTAGATAATAGTGCAGAATATTCCAGAGCCTGGGGAAGGTTGACCAGCTGTTTTCCTAGAAGCTGAAAAAGCGTAGTGTTATCTAAGGTGAATTTTCCAAAAAGCGTAGTGTTTATAGAGGCAGATGCACTCACCAGACTCACAAGACTGCTGTAAACCAGAATGCAGTTTTATTAGTTCATAGATAAAAAAGTGTCCCTGAAATTGGACATTCCAGGTCCTTATTCTTTGTCTATGGAAAACCTGACCTCCTCGAAGACTGCGTGATAAACAAAACCGTAACAAGAAGAATCAGCTCAGAGGTTTCCAAGTTGTGTTTTCGTAAGCGGTCTTCGGCACAAAGTATAAAACTTGGGAAGGCATTGCTGCCCAGGCCTTGGTGCCATCCAGGCCCCTGGAGCAGCATCTGAGGCCTTTTCTCTCATAACTGGGGCTGTGGAAACCTTTGAGTTAGATGAATACATATCTAAAGGTCTCAGCTGAATGTCACCTGCTGTATCCACTTTGAAGTTCAGTGTTCAGTCTGGTATGGCTCCCTCCGCCCTGGACAGGCCCCAGTGTTTTCTTTGCCCGCATGGCTGGACAGCCCCCTCTCCTGGACACCACCATCCTTTAGATGTGCTAATACATTTGCTCACTATTGGAGGTGTGGGCACCATTCTGACTCCTTAGGGAGTGTGCGTACCTCTGCTCTGACCTGTTCTGTGTTGGGTGAATCCTCAGACACAACCTTCTTTCATGGCCAAGTTCTTAGAGGTGTCTCACTGTGTCTTTTGCTTTGATTTCCTAGTCATTTCTCTTCTCCATTTGGGGCTGGTTTGCTAAATGTGGTATGGATTACCCGGAGGAGGGCATTTTACCACGGACCAGAGAAAGGAGGAGGAGGAAAGCTGCATTTCTTTCTGATTATAATTACAGAGCAACTCTCCAGTCAGGAGGCTCTGAAATTTTCCACCGCGTCTTTGAAATAGGTCTTTGAAGGCTTTCCCTTGGCCTCTTCCTTTCCCCCATCAGAGGACAGATCATATCTGAGGACCATCCCCTGGCTCAGAGTGGTAGGTCCTGGGGAATCTGTTCCAGGTCCCTCAGAGTGTGTGGAAAGGGAAGAGGGAGCTGCTCACGTGTGGCCCAGGAGAGGCAGGTGCGCTGTGCCGGGGCGGGTTTGAATCACAGCCTCATCGGCGCTCCCCAGAGACAAACTCTGATCCTGGGGCTCAGCTGTCCTGTCTGCTCCAAACCTCCGCAGCCTGTGTGGAAGGAGTGATTGAGTTCAGCAAGTCCACATCAAGGGTACTGGGAGTCCGTGGGCCTTTGCAGCAACACCCAAGGGCCTTCTGCATTCTAGCCCAGCCCAGACACGTGCCCTGTGCCCTCCTCGGATGGGGACAGTCTCCAGGGGGCTCGCTGCCTTGTGCTTGCTTGCCAAGCCATGTTAGTATTCCTTCTCATCCATTCCTACCTCAGTCTGACTTTCTCCCGTGCTTTAGAATCAAAAAAATAGTTAGATGTCCATTTTCTTCAGAGAATGTGGTGACCAAATAATGAGCCTCTCTTGGAGCAAGAAAATATAAAATGGAAATCTGTATCTCCCATTAAGTAGTTTGTACAGCAAACGGCTCTAAACGGTTGCCACTAAGAGAAGCCTCCAGTGTAGAACGCAGAGGCGAGAACCAAGCAGGCTGAGCAGACACACTGAAACTGGATCCAGCTTGAGGTCAGGCGTGTCCTTCCTCCGTTCGGTACAGCAACGATGTGGACCCTCCTGCCCGGTTTCCATTTGGAGACATGGGTATTGTGACCTTCACCGGCTAGGCATCCGCAGGTTGCTTGAGGTCATGGAACATGTGCTTGAAGAAATACTATTAGTTCATGAACTCTGTACTTGTTATTTTCACTTAAGGTGTAAGTGATATCTTAAGTGTGTTCTTCGCTTTTTTCTATCTTTATTTGTTCTTTGCGAAACTATAAAAAGCCAGAATGCTTTTAGGGTTTTGAGATGGCTGCTATGATTCATTATCTCCTGTTTGCAAAACTGTTTGTAAGACAAATTATAAAGGAATTAAAGTGCTTCTGACAGTTTCAGAAATGTGAATGTAATCCAGGGCGTTTATGTCTCACGTCCTCTCTTGCCAGCTGTCAGCCCCCTTTCCTCCTTGACCTTCTACATGTACAAGGGAAGACTGCTGGCTGGCCTTCACCTTGTAATGTGTCAGGCCTTCATCAGCATCCCGGATTTTAGCCTCTTGTGCTTTCCTTCCCCCAGATGTCATTCAGGCCGTCAGCACCATTGCTGTACAGGAGAAGGAGGGCAGTCTCTGGCCCAGGGTGGCTATCTTCTCTTCGATGGCACCCGGAGTCCTCCACGGGGTGAGGCTCAGCAGTCTGAAGGTTATGGATCTGGAATCCCAGAAGACCACATACACCTCAGGTACCACAGCCGTTTACCCCTTGCCTGGCGTCTCCTGCTCACTTCCATCCTCCTCAGCTGTGTGAAGAACTGAGTTCAGCCGTGCGGGCCAGGTGCTGGGGAAACCAGATGGATGCGAGGCAGGCCCTAGCCTCAAGGGGCCCCCGTTCTGGGGCTGGAAGAGGCAGTCCCGGGACCAGCAGCGTCCCAGCTGGGTGGAGCGTGGCAAGGTGCCCGGTGTTGGTGGGAAGCTTCCAGAGGAAGGGGTATGTGACCGGCCAGACTCCTGTGACTCCAGCAGCTTTTTCTCTGTCACCCTCTGTCTTCCAGGGGTCAGTGACAGTGAGGAGCTAAGTAGCCTGCAGGTCCTGGATGCAGACACCTTTGCCTTCTGCTGCTCCTCAGGCCGGCTGGGGCTTGTCGACATCCGCCAGAAGTGGGCGCCATCAGAGAATGTCAGCCCCAGCCCTGGGGCTGCTGGAGGGAGGTGGTGTGCTGAAGTTGGGGGCCGGGGCCCTGGGCCCAGCATTGCCAGCCTTGGCTCAGACGGGCAGCTCTGTCTTCTTGATCCCCGGAATCTCTGCCATCCTGTGAGTTCCGTCCAGTGCTCAGTGTCTGCACCCAGCCCCGACCCAGAGCTGCTGCGAGTGACCTGGGCGCCAGGCCTGGACAGCTGCTTGGCCATTTCAGGTACTGCTGAGCAGTATTTTGTGTCTGTTACTTGAGCTCTGTCTCCCAGGGGACTGTACAGTGCTCAGGAAGGAGCCTGCAGCCCCGTAATAAATCTGGCCCCAGAAGTGAAAGTCCCTCCCAGAGAAGCTCCAGATAACCCTCCAGGTTCTTCCATGGCAGGCCCTTCCCCTTTCTAGCTACTGAATTTTGACATTGGTAGCAGGCCTTTCCTACCTGAGCAGGAATTCGGTGCTGAGGTTGGGCGAGAGGACTGCAGATAGCAAGGCACTAGGATAGTCACGGGGCTGTACCAGGAGGAGGTGAGAGGATCACGAAAGTGCTTCTTGGTCTGCTTGCTTTTCAAATTCTAGCAAGCTGCTAGGTCAGCAGGCTCCTGGGTCTGGCCTGGCAGTTTCTAGCTGACTGAGGGTATCTAATAATGAGGGTATCTAAAAGTCAATGGGAAGGACCCATGGAAGGGGAGAGGTTGAAAGAATAGTCGAGAGAGTAAGAAAAGATCATTGATAATGGCAGGATCCAAAAAGAGCAGAAGAAAAGAACCAAGCTTGGTGGAGGAACTTTCTCTTTGGTAGCAAGAAGACAGCAGGACGGAGTGAGTGTGGGTATAGCTAGGTGGTGGGGGGACATGCAGGTGCTCCTCCGTAAAGGCTTCTGTTTCCCCCATCAAGCAGGAGGCAAGGCCATCTGCTGACAGGGATCCAGATGCGGAGGGATTAGAATTTGAGGCAAGTGGAAGAGGTTTGAAAGAGTCTCTTAAGCCTCGGTTTCCCGGGGAAAATAATAGTACCTATTTCATACAGTTGTGAGGATTAAAAGAACGCATGTCCAGGGTTGGCCTCGGGCCTGGCACATACCAGACGAACAGCAGAAGTACACCGTCACCTGCCCTATGGAGTCATAAGCTGCCAACAGCGAGGGTGGAGCTTATGTGCCCTTCAGCTGGCCTTAAGCATCTTTTTCAAGTAATCGCCACCCAGTGTGGGGCTCAAATTCATGAGCCCAAGATCAAGAGTTAGATGCTCTACGGACTGAGCCCGCCAGGTGCCCCTGGCCTTAAGCATCTTGTTATTATTTGATTTCTCATCCTATAACCTGTTTTGGTGCCAGAGAGCAAACTATAAAAATTACTTTAGGGACGCCTGGCTGGCTCAGTCGGAGTGTGGACTCCTGATCTCGGGGTCATGAGTTCAAGTCCCATGTTTGGGCATAGAGATAACTTAAAAAACAAACAAACAATAAAAATTACTTTCCAGTGTCAATCTTCTCTTTTCTCATTCCTCCTTAGGTTTTGATGGGACAGTCCAGGTCTATGATGCCACATCTTGGGATGGAGTGGGGAACCAAGTAGAACCTGTCTTTACTCACAGAGGTCACATCTTCCTGGAGGGCAGCCAGATAGACACTGCTCCACTGGTCACTACCCACACCTGGCACCCCCACAAACCACGGACTCTCCTATCGGCAGCAAGCGACGCCTCTCTGCACGTGTGGGACTGGGTGGACCTCCATGCGGCCTGCTGACTCCAGCGGCTTCCTGCCCAGGCCTCGACGAAGAGGAGGAGCTGCTGTAGAACCAGGTATCAACTTAGGCCCCTGTTACCAGCCAAGTGGCCTTGGGCAAGTCAGCCAGCTTCTGCCCCCAGGTTCTTTATTTGTAAAATGAGCATAGTAAGAGCTACCTCTCAGGGCTGTTGGGAAAGTTAGAAGGGATGGATTAAAAAACAGGATGCGTAGCACAATAAATATTTGGTAGCCCCTGTTAGACCCGGGAGCCCCGTCTCCCCCCAAGTGTAGAATGACAGTGTTTTATTCCTGTCTGTATTCACAATATCAGAGTGAAAAAAACAACAACAAATGTTGTAAAGGCGTTTTGTGAACTTTTTTACAGAACTCGAAATGTACAAGGGCCAGTAAACATGAAAAAAGTCGACCCCAGTAGCAGTGAAGGAAATAACAATTAAAACAAGATTATGCCCTTTTCTTATCTACCAAGTTGCCAAATTTAAAACATTAATGCTTTGGACAGCTGATGACGGTGGCCTGATGACCCAGTTCAGGAGGCACAAAAGTAGCAGTATGGTTCCTGCCCCTGGCGGTACATGGGCTGGACCGGTGTCCAGTCGAACCATAATTTGTACATCCAGTCTCCTTTTAAATGGCACTGAAAATGTTCTAATCTTTTGCTCTTACAAGTAGTGTGAACGTTTGTATCCATGAACAAAAGCCTGTAGGATAAATTTCTAAAATTAAAATTGCTAAGGCAGAGGATCCATGCATTTTTAGGTTCTATAAATACAGCCAGTGAGCCTTCCCCGGAGACTGTGCCCTTTGTGATGGCAGCAGGGATGGGTCTGCCTGTCTTTCTTTCCTCACCAGCCAAGTCTCCCTAGTGGCTTTTTGGCCTTTGCCAGTCTGATAAGTGAAAAATCATGACTTGTAGTTTTCTACTTGTAGTTTTTTACTTCTTGGATATGTGAAATTGAGACTCCTCATGTATTTAAACATTTGGGGGCAAATATTCCTCAAGACGAGAATCGCTGGGGTGGGGAGATAGGCGTTCTCACCCGCTCCACCTGCCGCAGAGATTAGACGGCCCCCCTCTCGGGTGGTTCGTACTGGGACACAACACCTGCGCCAGGGTGGTGCTTTCCCACACCTGCCCCTGCCCTCCCAGGGGAGTAGACCCAACGGACATCTCTTTGGTGGCCCATAGCAGATATTAAAGTGTACCTGCATTCCTGTTACATAGAACTTCTCACTGGCACACTTGTTAAGGAATTTTCAGCAAGTTTGCTTTTGAAATTATTTGATGACTTGTCAGTTTGGGCTCTGAGTTCTTAAAAAATAATTTTATTGAGATATAATCCACATACCATACAACTCACCCATTGGAAGTGTATGATTTGGTGGTTTGGGTATGTTATTAATTTTTAAGGATTGTGGCTAAAATATATGTAACAATTTGCCAGTCTTTTTCATTTTCAAATGTACAATTCCGTAGAATTAAGTGCATTCACAATGTTGCACAATCATCACCACTTCTAGTTCCAAAACTTTTTTGTCCCCCAAACAAGCTCTGTGACCACCATGGGCTCTGGCTTGCTGGCCGTCAGTGGGCACACTTGTATCCATCAGCTCGGGCCGCCCTAACAGAACACCACAGACTAAGGGCTCACACAGCAGAAACTTCGCTGCTCACAGTCCTGGAGGCTGGAAGTCCAAGAGCCAGGTGCCAGCACGTTTCTTCGGAAGCCTCTTCAGGTGGCTTGTAGGGGCCCATCTCTGTGTGCTCACGGCCACTCTGCATCCCTGCAGAGAGCGCTCTGGTCTCTGTTCCTCTTACAAGGACACCAGTCCTTTCGGATTAGTGCCCCACCCTCATGACCTCATTTAACCTTACTTACTTCTTAAAGGCCTTATCTCCAAATACTGTCACGTGGGGGGTTAGGGTTTCAACATAAGAATTTGGGGCGGGGGCACAAGTCAATTCATAGCACTTAGGAAGTTAGAAAAACCTGAGATTTTCAAATGAAATGTTTTTTTTTATTTAACAGTGAAGTTGAGGGAGTGTTATATATTGGAGAAGTTTAATTTAAAATAATTCAGTTTCAAGATGTGATCATTTTTACCATTTTTCTAAAGTCTTCTTTCTATCCTTTCCCCCCACCCCCCACTCCCCTGTGAGAGCTGATCCTGTAGAGCTCTTCTCAGCTGGTAGTGACATCACACTGACTGCTGAAATCGGCCATGATGGAAATACTTACCCACAGAAATTGGCAAATACTACAGCATACCGCTGGCTAAGCTCTATTATTTCACCAAATAAAAGCAGAAATGAGTCATTTAGAAAATAGTAGAATTGATGCATGAATTCAAAAGCTGCTGAAAAATAGTGATAAAATGCCTATCAGTCAGTCAAGGCCCAGCTAGAAAGACTGAATCCACACTGAGTAATTCAGCTACAGGAATTCGGTTATGAGGCATCTGAATGAGGATGCAGGGGAAGGTGGGGCCCATGAGAGAAGAGCAAAGCAGGAAGTTAGCCAGAGGGACAAAGGGGTGGGGTATGGGTGTGACCAGAGGTGAACACTGGGGCCTCCCAGTGGGAAGGGGAGCATGGCAATCCTGCTGGCTGGGGCTGGGACCTTGGAGCCGGAGCTGGGACTGCAGAGGAGACAGCCGAAGACTGCAGAAAGTACAGAGACGGGGAGGTCCCCTGGTTCCTCTCCCTCGGCCCTCCCATAGCCTGCCTGCGCCATGGACCAGCTGTGACGGGAGCTCGCCAGCAGGGTAGCCTGCACCTGCAGTACAGAGCAGGGGGGATGGAACCGGATGGGTCTGAGGACAGACAGATGACTGGCACCACATCTAAACCTCTACGAATTAAGCAAGAGAAAGGAAAAAAAAAAAAAGAAATTAGAACAGTGTAAAATTCTTTGTTAATTTGAAAAGCTCAAGATACAGTTAATTTTCTTAAAAACTGGTATTTGTAAACTACTTTTTAGTAGAAAATCTGAATTCTTCAATACTCAAGAAAGAAAAATTTGGAGAGGCGCCTGGGTGGCTCAGTCGTTAAGCATCTGCCTTCTGCTCGGGTCATGGTCCTAGAGTCCTGGGATCGAGCCCCGCATCGGCCTCCCTGCTCGACGGGGAGCCTGCTTCTCCCTCTCCC